AGCTGTCTAATTTTTGGTTGATTGTAATCTATTACATACCTTTCTATCAAAGTTATGTGACATTATCAAGCTGAATTTGTTCTGACAGTTTAACTCTGAGTTCTTGTCATATTTTATTACCATTTTCTAAACTATAGCGAATAAACTGTGATAATGTGAGAAAAGATGAAGGTGTCTAAATAGATTTTGGTTTGACTGTATCTATTTGATAAATGAAGTTAACCAACTAACATTATACATACTCTTTTGGTTTCTGTACCCAATATTTAAAAAATGAACAAATGCAATAAAAATATCGGTATCGGTATCGGTACTCGGTATCGGAAAGTACCAAAAATAAAAGTATCGGTATCGGGCGAGTACTGGAAAAAGTGGTATCGGTGCATCCCTATATATTATATAATTTATACATTTTCTATATATTGTCATGGTAATAATTTAATTATTTAAATATTAAATAATATGTTAAATATTAAGTCATCCTGCAGGTGACCTTTTATCTGCAGAAATCATTTGAAGTTATCTTTTGAGTGTCGTAGCATTTCAAGCTTTAGTGTGATTTACCGTGGTTGACCAGTTCATTGTATTAGACAATTATTAGATGGCATGCTTTAATGTTTGGATGTGTAGGATTGTAATTATGAATGGATGTTTTTTCTAATCATTGTTTATAGGAGCAACCACCCACTTCACAGCATCATGGCAACGAGTTTTGCACAGACAAGCATCCCTCACTCTCCAGAAAATGTAAAATTGTTAAAAATGTGATGACAGACGCTAGGCAAGATGAAGACAAACATGGTCATTTCAGTAGTCTTGTTTTAGAAAGCCGAATCCAGCATGCTTTCCAGATTTCAGTGGACATCCTAATGTCAGTGGGTTTCATGTTTTGTGTTGCAGAAAGTAGCATTTTGTTTAAGAGCATAACTTAAGACGCGCATCAGGAAATTCCACAGCTCAGCGTAGAGAGATCCGTTATTTCCTGTCTCCCATGTTTTTGGATTGACATGCAACTTAAAGTGCACACTGAAGTTTATTTCACACAAAACTAGATGTTTACTGAAGGTTACGTCAGTGGTGCCTGCTGTGCAAAAGCCGTGACTGTGATGCTGGAGAGTCATGGGTGGTTGCTAATAGGGCTGGGTTTTGAGATAAATTTCACAAATAGTTTTGATTTTGATTTGCAAGCTTGTGATTCAATTCAATACTGATTCAGTTGGATATGTAGTAGGTATGTCAATTTTTGATAATTTCCATGATCAGTCGTCGTTTAAATTAACGATCAGATTTACGATTCGTTTTCATAGTTTTATTCAAAAATTAAATATTGAACAGTTTAGGTAAAAATATAATATTTAATACAGTGCATATATTTAGCAGATTGTTCCTTTTTATAGTTCATTTTTCTTGCTAACTATCGAGTTTATGGTCATTGAATGGATTTTCTGAGGTAAATGTAAGGTTATGCAACAACGTTTACAAGCTCTTTCATTGACGTCTTTTTGCGGTTGAAACTGATTGAGCGATTGCATGAGACATAACACATTTCGCTAAATTGCACTGTTTCTTTCAACACCTGATGTTCATGCATGTTCATTTCATGCAGTAACTAATAGGAAAGAGGAAGAGATGATCATTTCACGTGAGCTTGTACTGAGGTGCTACAGCGATCTGTCAGACCAAATTAAAGAGTGCAAAAACTGTATTTATTGTTTGAATTTTGTAATAAAATTGACAGAACTTGAAAGCTGAGACTGTTTCATATCAAAAGTAATGAATCACAAAGATTGTTGCGTTTTATTGGATGGGAGTGGTGCTACAAATAAAGTTTAAGTTTTGTTCACACATCAACCGAAAACAGCATAGATCGATTCTTGGGACTTAATAATCAATATCGGTTCATTAAAATCGAGAAATCAGTATTTTTAACCCAGCCATAGTTGGTAAGATGTTTGAGGTGCTTTTTAGCATGTTATGATGCTTGACTTATTGAATCACAACGAATCTTATCATAATTCACAAAATAAACTTAATTTTGTTGCAAGATTGGTCGTACACTGAAAAAAATAAATCTGGTTTAGGATTTACTTTGAAACAATTTTCACTCAGAATTTGCTAGTAAATTTCACAAATAATTACAAAGAAATGGCAAGTAACACATTGAATTAAATTTGAAATTTTGAAGTAGACTGTAATAGTATTTTCTCGTAAAAATATTCCTATAATCTGTGTTATTTACAACTTTGAAAAATCATTTATTTACAGTGTAGATGAGCTGCTGAAGACTTATCATTAAACGGTCCGTGTGTTAACCTCTCCTCCATTAAGTACTCGCTACTGTAGTGTAGCTGTGAGCCACATTGTGACTGTAATGTGGACCGCTGGTGTGAGAACGGCAACACATGCGCGTGTCCTCCTAGTATGCATGCTAATTTGTGGGTTTGTGTTAAGTCTCTGTGGTCTTTTTTTGTTTTCCACATTTTTTTGCCGATTACTGTTGTCAGAGATGGTTCCAGTGGGTGTGTTGTTTGCCAGCTGGGTGTTCCTCCTCTAGTTATTGTGTACGTGTGGCAGCCGCGGGTGCGCTTTTATTCCAGCCTTGTTTGCATTAGTGTACATACTAACACAGCCAAGCGTGTAAACGCTGCCCTCCACCAGCTTGAAGCAGACGGCTCGCTGCGTGGTTTAACGTCTCGGCTGAAGCATGACTGATTTGGGAGAGGATGCTTTGGGGAGAACATCGGAAAGCAGATGAGATCTGATACCTAGATTCAACGACACAGTGCTTTTATGGAAACTTAAAGATTAGAACCTGATATAGACAATTGGGCTGACATGATATTTATTATAGTTAATATAATGACAGATATTAAATTTTGTTTGCTTACACCAAAAAAAGAAAACAGTCATTTACTTGCCCTCATGTTGTTCTAAATCTGTATGACTTTTCCTTGAATTTTTAAAAAATTATACTGGCAACTCCGTATTTCCGTTTATTGAAAGCATCATAAAAGTGGACCATATGACTTCTACACTATAGTCTTCTAAAACTATTCCATTTTTAAAGAGCAAGTTCATCCAAAAATGTCATCAAATACTCCCCCTTATATTGTT